GGGGGGGGGGGGGGGGAGGGAGTGAGTGAGATAGGGAGAAAGACACACGATCGTGTAAGCGCGAGAAGCGGAAAAAAAGGAAAAGCAAGAGACGCACACACACGTACGCGCTTTCGACGCTCCTTTCCTGCCCGATTCTCTCGTTCTTTAACGTCGCGGGACGTGCGGCATCGTGCACACGCGCAGGTTGTCGGCATCGTACACACACACACACACAGGAACACACAACGTACAAACGTACACCCGCCGCGGATACAGACACCAGAGAGGCACATACGCGGCACAAGGGGCGCGAGCCTGCCGAATCCAGCCAAGTCCAAAGTCCTTAATCCCGTGGGGTGATCCTGGCCCCGCCCGTACGCGAAGGAACCACACCCCAGCGAGAGAGAGCGAGAGAGAGGAGGAGGAATTCACGATCCGGATTTAGCAGGCTACTGGTAAGCTCCCGGCATCACCGGTCAATTCTTTCTCCGCGTCTCTCTTCACGTCTTTCTCTTCTTTCGCTTTCCTTTTCTTCTTCTTCTTCTTTTTTTTCTTGTTTCTCTTCGCTCTCGGCGATGCGACTGCAAAAGTAACCTTGCTCTCGCGGCTCCTTAGGGATAGGGCGGCCAAGAGAAAAGAGAGAGAGAGAGAGAAAGAGGAGAGTAAGCATCGGCTTCCTCGATCTCAACTCGCGGCCCCCCTCGCCCCGCCCCCCTCCCCCCTCCGTTTCGCCGTCTCCGTCTGGCCCGATAGTGCACATGGCCTCGTTCCATGCTGGATGCAGGTTGCAACGCGGTCGCACAGGTTAGGTTCGCGTCTGCGACACGAAGGGCGGAAGCGAGAAGGGCAGGCAGGGTAGGTCGTGAATCCGCGATGCATGCGCTCGGCCGACGAGCGGCCCGAACCCGCGAATCCACCACTTGCGGGTAATTAGTACTAATTACGCGCGCGCGCAAAAGTCGGCCGACTGCACACGCTGATCCTCACAGACGGTCTTCGTGAGACTCGCGGTGTCTTTGATCGCGAAATCCTCGAGAGAACGGCAGAAGCCGAGGTATTAATTGTTTATGCTCCATAAAAGCAGAGAGAAAGAGAGAGAGAGAGAGAGATGCATGAGTCCAACAGCGAGAAGTAGAAATTTGGGTGAAACGTGATCGTCGCTTAAAACGGGGGTCTACAATGAGAATGTAAGACGTAAGATTTGAGAAATTGACCAATCATGATTGATTTTTCTCCTATAATTCGACTGTGATTGGTCAATTTCTTAAGTCTTGCGTCTTAAATTCTCTCATTGCAGACTCCGCTTAAAGAGGCTCGATTCGTCCGAAGCGGCCGGATTCGCAGCTCGCGAGTGGTAACTTCGCGCGATTCCGGTGGACGAAATTGAAAGAAACAGGGAGAATAGGTGCAATATGACGAGCGCGTCGTCGGGCGGACATTAATTACGTCGATGGTGTTGGAATCCGTTTGACGCAGACACGGGGGCGGAAAGTTGCGCGTGTTACGAGACCGCCGTGATCTGGCCTCGAATTTAGCGGCGACGTGTGGACTCGAACGTGTGCGTGACATTTCGCATGCAAAATGCTGCAGCTGGCAGCTGATGGGGGCGATTTTGGATTGATTTGCGTCCCGGCCGTTGTTGCGATCCGGCTGTAATTTCTGGCCGGCGCCGCGCGGTAACCGGTTTCTCCGGTGAAAATCGCTCGCGGCGAGCGAGCGTTTCGTCGAACCAGGCTGCCAGGGTGTCTTGTAAATATCGGGGCGCGCACGAAATCTCGGGAAGAAATTGTTTTGTTTCATACGAGGAGAGAATTGCGCGGACGGCGATTACGAGCTGAGATATAAATCGCCCGTGCGCGATATATCCCGCGCGCCGCTGAATAAATGTTTCGTCATGGGAAAATGTCGCGCGCGTGGCGATATATTAAATAGGCGGAGCGTGTAATCTTTCATAAGGAGAAAATGGAAAAGTAACGAAGCGGAAGCCTTGTGTAGCTCTACGGAGGGGGTGTCGGGAAGGAGTTCTTGTTTTAACCACACACACACGGACACGTTGATGCGGAGCGTCACGATATTGATATCGTTTAATATCATTCGCTGCTCGCGGAAGGAAATAGCATTTGAATAATGTATACATTCCGTGAAAACACATTTTATACGACTGCTGTTTCGCAGAGGACGCTGCAAATCGCGTAATACAAATAGACGCTTTAAAAACAATTCTCATCGAAATGAATTACGAGCGTATATTGACATGAACAAATATTGACAGGATAGTTACGCCCCTGCCGGCCGTCCGGAGGGGGACGAATTATTCCCCAGTCATCGACTTTACAATCATTTTCATGCTCGGCTAGTCATTTCCATTCTTCACCGGCCGGCCGTTAAAAAACATTAATTAAAACTTTCCACGCGATGTTATCGTCGTCGAACGGTCGGATTGAGTTTGCGCAAGATCCCGGTGCCTTTCTCTCTCTCTCTCTCTCTCTCAGAAACTTTCGACCGCGCGACTCTTGAATCGCCCGCGCGTTTGAAAAGGTCCCCCGATCGATATACCGATCGGGATCGGCGAGGCAGCCCGTCTACGATTTTACCGCCGGCTTTGATGTAACTAACCCAGGAAATGTACGAAGGGCAACTTTACGGTTCGTTGGCCGTGGCCAATCACGCGCGCGTAGCAGGCTCGCAGCCGGTCGGGAGAATATAATTTACAAACTCCGGGGGTAACCGCTCGCAATAATTTATGTGCCGCGCGCCGATTTTTCCACCGTCCGGCCTCTATTTACGGGCACCATTAAATACAGCCCTCATCCCGGGGACTACCGGAGCGCGCAACGTTACGAATCGACTGGCCCGGCGTATCGGCTGCATCGCCAGCTCGCGTATCGCGCGCGCTTCTGATCTCCCGATAGCTGCTTTTACGATGCGTCGTAAGCGCATAAGCGAGTTTAGGGCCGACGGTGATTCGATCTCTCTGTTAACCTAACATTCGCGTACGCGACGAGACGAAAAATCGCATTCGGATCCGCAATGCGTAATCAGGTGTTAATTAGTTGCTAATTAGTTGCCGCAATGCCACATTCATTGCGCTGTTACGCCGTTCCTTCCGTTGGAAATTAATTTCAACGATGGAGGCGCTGACCCGTCGCACCGTTACGCTCGTACCTCCCCTCCCCCCGCCCCACCCATTGAGAAACATATGTAGAGCATTCTAATAATAAAAAACCAATATGCCAGAATTAATCGCTATTCACTGTCCTAAAGTGCGGCAATCTGAAATCGAAAATATTTCAATGTTCCGGGAAATAACGAAACGCTATAATGCATGCGCATCGAGAGTAAAGCGATAAAAGAAATAAAAGGTTCCAAATAAATGACATTTATTTCCACGCAAACGTTACGAAATGATACTTTCCAAAGCGCGCAGATTATGAAATTGTGCTTCCTAAATAAGTTCGAAAGGTAAAAGAAACACGCGTGATAAAGGCGCAACGATAAAGTGCGTGGAAGAATTACACTGAAAAAAAAAATTGCTATGTTCAAGTAAATCTTTACTAAAAAGTATTCCGATAATTTATTTACTTAATCTAAATAAAATGAATCACTACGATACTCTTTACTAAATATTCACTACGAACGTGGCAATTTTTTTCTTCAGTGTAGTTTCATATCTAAAACGACGGTTGAATTAATTAACTCGGAAATTGCTCTCGAAATGTACCGTTTGGAGTTCAGTAGGTTTCTCACGTTGAAGGGAACGCCCTCGTTATTAGTCAGGCCGGTTGATAAAAGAAAAAGAGGAAGAAAGCGTCCGATATGCGGGAGATACGAGTGGTGAATGGTCGCGCAACTAGCGCCGACAGTCGGGGGTTTTTCTCGTCGCGGGAGAGATGACCGAGCATATTCGCGCGCCGGTCGAGTTAATTTTCTGCCGATGTAAGCAGGTAAAAGCTCTCTGGCGTCGCGAACCCGAGCGGAAGAATCCCCGCGAGGCTCGTTCTCGCCGAAAATGAGTCAGTGTTGCGGGGAAACGACCAGTTAGACGAACATTAGTCTTCGCTCGACAGCAGCCCGCGCTCGCTTGTTCGGCCGGCCGGCAAAACCTAAGTAGAATTAGGTTAAGGGGTTGGCGGAACGCGAACGGAGGGCGGGGGTAGGACGGCTGGGAAGTTCGGCGATTTCTTGTAATTGAATCTGACCCTCGTCCAGTTATTGTTTCCGTTCGTACGTTGGCTTCTCCGCCGCGAACCCACGCCGGGCGCAATAATTTTTGCGGGGCACGTAATCAGAGGTATCGGGAATCCGATAAGACTCTCGCGATGTACCGTCCGGACGGAGGTCAAGACAGAAATCACGGCGGAGATGACGAGTCGTTCGACGAGGAGTTCGCCCCGTTAACGATTAAACTTTTCGGAAAGGGTCGTGTAACACCTTTTTCCGCGAATATGTTGAATTACCGGCAGCATAACGTACAATCTCTCGCGGAACTTTCAACGTTCGTTACCGGATTTATTTAAAGGAATCTATCCGCAGAATATCCTGTATATTTTTCGACGTAAACGTGTAAAACAAATTCAGTTCGATAATGTGGCATGCACTGAGAGAAAATACTTAATATTTTGCAATAATTATCATCATAATATGGAAGAATTATAATCGTCAGAAGAACTTAAGGTTAATGTTCTATTTTTAACTTCCGTTTTTTCCAAACCACATTTAGGATTTTTATGAAAAACTACTACTGATATTAATTATAGAGACATTACACAAATATTTCAGAGTTATTGACCATCTTGTTTTGAAAATGTAGCAATAGGAAATTTATAATTTATAATAATACCTGCGATACATATACATATACACTTATTTAGATATTTTCACCTCATTTGTGATATTGTGTGTACTCGTATATTTCTCTCAATTTCGCGCTAAATAAACATTTAGTACTGACATAGTTAAATAAAGTTACAGGAAAGTATTTTTTTATTTGCTGAACGTTATTTCGGCACGGAATGACATCAACGTGCGAGAGAGACGTCCCATCGTCTTATCGAGATCCCGTTTTCGGCCGCCGTGCGTTAATTTCTCGTCCGTTTCGCGTTAAAACACAGCCGGCTCTCGTTCAACGCACCGTCTCCTGTCCGACACGCTCCGGAGGAGCCTCCTCCCTTTTGTTTTTTCCCTCCACGGCAATTGTTACGTAACTAAACGTTTACAGAGCCGCCGGGGGAGGACGAGGTGCGAAGGGAAAAATGCATTGTTGCTCGCTACGGCCGCGAATAGCCCACCGTTTTATCCCGATACCCCTCGTTTCTCTCGACCGAATTCTCGTTTAATCTCACTTGACCCGCTCGAACTGTCGAAATTCTCGACGCTAACGGACACTAACCCCGCTGTTGCCGCGCGCTCTGCTCTGCAATCAGTTTCGGATCGTTTCGTGCGAGTTACACTCGCG